AGAAGGAATGAGTATTCTGTCTTTTATAAAGGGCAGAGCAGAGGTGTCCATCTATTGCTTATGAGCAGCATTCTTTCCCTCCGGAGGTACCCTCATTATGGGTCTTAGTTTGACTCGTTCGAGTCAATCTGAGGTCGGTAGTGGAGGAAACCCACGAGGGGAGGCTCGAACAGCTTGTGGCTTGTGAGCGACATTTGGACACCTGTGTTATAAATTATATTTTTATGATAGTTACTTGTTGCATATCAAGAAAATTTGATTTTACCCATTAGTGTGTTAATTATTATTTTCAACAGTTGTATTGTCACTTGTAGATAAATAAGAAAATGAATGGGAGTTGAATGTATTTACTAATGTAATTAGTAATACTATTTCTTACTACTTACTATTTTATAATTTGATTAATAAATGCAGGATTTAATATGATACCAGACTACTGGAAAGAAGTTTAAGATTAATACTTGTGAAGAATATATATTATCAGATTAACTATGCGTATTGAAATATATCAGAAATACGTACTCTCACGTTTCTCAAAGACAGTTATAAAAATTAAATAGTGCATTTTGATACACATAGATTGAGTTAGAACGTAACGTTCTGGACAAATGTGATATTACAGACCATGTACAAGAAGGCATTTCGCGACGGGTAGATTTCTGAGTCAAAGTGACATGATTTGTTACGCTTATGTTATCTGTCTTACATTGACTTTGACGACGGAATCGCCCGAGGGTTGTTCAATGTATAGAGTCAAATATCTTTTTATATAATCATGATGTAGAGTCTTTTTGTCGTTAAAAATGAATTTACATTAGGATCTTCTTACTTGCTAATACAAAGTCGAGTCATGGTTGTTGCAAATAAAGTGAGAACCAATGAGAACATATTAGACCGTTAGAAGAGCAGAAACTAATAATTATTTTAGTCAGGATTTTCAGGATAATTATTCCGTGTTCGTTGCTCAAACCCTTTCACGTGCCCAGGTGCTACTTGATTGGGCGAGAGCAGCGGGAAACGATGATTTGATTTCATATATAATAACAATAACATGTGTATGCGACTGGCAATGCGTTAACATACCGTGCACGACGTACTTTCCACTTGTGTGTGTGGTTATTAGGCAGTGGAATTGCGTCGGTTAGATTTCTATTCATTAACATTTCATGTGTAGTTGTTCCTTGGAACAATTTCTCACAACTCCGGTATCGGTCGTACATATACCTTTGCTTTATATAATGCGTAAAATAAAATTTCCATGGAATATGTACTGGTTTCGTGTCTCTCGCTATCAGACGAGAAAATTAACACATAATCGATATAAAATATACCAAGTATACGTATATTGTTTAAACAATTTTTCTATTTTCGCAATGGATGCTAGCCTTTGCCAGTTGATTTCAGGAAAAACGGTACGTACCTATTAGAGTGTGCATGTTGAAAGTCGCGCTCGGGTGTCGGAGACGTCCCGGGACGTTCTCCCTAGGTCTTTGATTGATTTGCACCCTGGCGTATGCTTGAGAACCGTGGAGTGTTGTGTGTTGGTGAGAATCTGTCTTTTGCCATTTCTTTTTAAATATAGGGCTACGTAGGCAGGTAGCATACTTTCTTCTGTGTGAATGTCTACGATTTGACTGTAAGTAGGTAGGGGCCGGGGCAGGCTATCACATTCTCTGATCGAGTAAGCTCGCGTAGATTTCGCGTGATAGTCCTGCTACCGGGATAATTTGTAGCGTCGATTCGAAACTGGTCCAGACGGAGCATGCTGTCTGCTTCCGATTTCGATTTCGATTCTTCAAATTCGACGAACCCCAAGGGGGTCGTCGTCGCGGTCGCGGTCGGAAGGATAGGATTGTCGAAACGAACGACCTGCTCGATTGCACTCGTGGTACGATCATACAGACTCTTGGAGTTGTTGGTCGTCCACAACCGAGCAGCTTGAGGGTTTCAGGTGGGTGGACTGCCGAAGAAAAGAAGAGGCTATATGCCGAAGAGGCCCGGCACAAATTGTGTCATTGAAAAGGGCAACTACTAATGGCTCTGCATCTTCGGATGGGGAGTCATTCTGTTACTACTTTGTCACTGTTTATAGCAATTGTTAACTTAATATTGTTTAATTTAAATGTGCCTTCGTAGAGTTTTATTCGAATAATTCATAAAAATTTGTAGGACAAGAGGAATTCTTCGGTCGACGTTTGATTGATATTGTCCTTGAAAATGACTGTTACTTATTTCAGAATAGAAACGGACATTTTTACCTTATGTTTATCGAATGGAAGTCTAAATTTGTTTCTTATTTTATTGAATTTAACAATGCCAAAAGTGTTTACTTGTTACTATTCTGGGACACAAATTGGTATTTTTATCGTGATCTCATTAGACTCGATTTCATGGCGCAAATAGTAATGGATTTTTAAAAGAAAAACATTCAGAATTGAAACATTCTTGTTTGAACGATACAACAAATATTCGCATCGAAATTATTATTAAAATTTCTTAATGGACGAGATTCAGTGAAACGTAGATAAATGTTTTCCTCGTGAAATTCTCACGCAACGATTTACGTTTCAGTTGTCATCAAACCGATCCTCGTTACATTACGGTTACATCAGAGCAGATACCATCGAGTTTTGCAATCAATAACGTTAATCGATCACCGCAACGTGTTACCTTGACCCTCGAAAACATCGTCTTACGATCGTGAAATCGTGAATTGCGTATCATGTTCGTGGAGTGTGTTGACACGTGTTACGCGGTTTGTAATCTGCTTTATATAGAAAGCTGAAAAAAATGTTCTACTAATGACTTGCCGTTTGTTGCCACAAACTGCCAATAAACTATGAGCGATAATGAACGCGAAAGCGACCAACAAAAACATCGACCGAGAGTATTAACAAGTTTAGTCGAAGATTCATCTCAGTGCCGCTTTAATTCTCCTTGGATACGTGTCATCCATTGAGACAAAAACGCAATGTAATTGAAGTTTAATAGAAGATTCATTGTTAGACGCATTTTCTGTTAAATATCGTTTCTTGTACCAGTGAATTATCCATTTTGAGAGAGAACACCTGCATTCCTATTTGACTTTTCGTAAGTAGTTAACGCTGATCGACAACATACACAGTAAAATAAAATTTGCTCTTGGCAAAACATTTGTTAGACTCTATTTAGACATTTTGTTGATACCAGTCTTATACTTCACTAACTTTCGACATCACATGGTACTCCATTTCACAAAGAAATGTATAATCTTTATTACATTTCAATGACACCTCATTGGGGTCTATCTTTGAGCGTGTATAACAGTATGTAAATTATTATCCCACGTACGCGTTCCAACGTAAGCATGCGTAAATCAAGCTTATCGTAAGAACGGTAATTAATAAATCACTAACGTCGCAACAATGTTCGTGTTGCCAGTCACGCAATATGATAAATAATCAATAAATGCGTCTTTTCGAACATATAATTCTTCGAATTCGTTAAAAATGACACGGATGTAAAATTTAAACTCAATTATTTCAAATATTTTCGTCATATTCTTTCACATTGAATCACTATTTTTTCGGTTCTACCACTAGTCCAATTGAATTTCACAATGTGTTAAATAACTAAAAAGAATTACAAAAGGGTGAAGTGTCCAGTTGCATTTTTTCCAACTAAAGAGGTCGAATTCCCATTATCATCGAACATTTTTCAAATGATAGCACATGCCTGACCAGCAAAAATTTTCCGTTCGAACAGGTAACTCGGTACAAGAAACAGATCAATTTTTCGAATTTTAATTGGATTAGCGAGATACTCCACGACATTGGGAGAATGTCCACGGACAAAAGTCGAGGTTAAAGCGACGATGCAACGATTCCAAGCCCGCGACAGCGTTGGATTACCGAGATAGTGCGTGAGCAGGGAACACCTTGCACGCACGCATCGGGTTTCAACCGGTAATAGAATTATTTTCCGTTCCCCCAGCTGCGGTTGAATTGATTTCTCGATGGTTGTTCGTTCGCGATGTTTCTTCAGTGAGATCGCGGATAGGTAGCCGAGGGCTCGTTGTAAAATGGAGGAGAATCGCGAAGACGAACAGAAGTAATCGTCACCTGATTTTTATAATCGTAATTTCTGTGTCTCGGTGAACATGATCCAGTGAGACAGAGTGAGACAAACGGTTCGATAGTGTCGATAGAAAAAAGCACAACATAACAGAGTCCTCGAAACAAACATAGTTAAATTGTGATGACTAGACTGCGAATTTTATGCATTTAAGTACAAACTTTTCGAATTTTTTTGACCCTTTAACGCCCAGTGTTGCTGGGCTACTTGTTTTAAAAGTACGTCAAATTTTTGTAGTTTCACTGATGTGAAGTAAATCTACACGTTTTCAACGGTTTATGATTCGACTTTAACGGAAATTCGACTTTAATAGTTACAAAATCTCCTAAGTGTTCGTTCATTGGTGTATTTACTTTGTATGCCTATTCCACTGTTTCTCGATCGGTATCGTGATTATGAATCGATTGCATGTACCACAAAATTATTGACTGTACAATACAAATACGTTTTAGTGGTTCGATCACTGCGAAAAGGAAGTCGCTAGTCAATATATCCGGGGATTCGATACAACTGCTCGGTACCGTAGATGTAATTTCAATTACAAAATGATGCGTACACGAACGTCTCACCACTGAATAACCTCGAGCGTATCAATGTTCGATTGTTCGCGTATATTTTCGTAAACAAACTTATCCAGTTCTAATCTGATGCACCAGGACTTGCGCAATCTTTCGCGATTCCTTTAAAGACGAGACCAAGAAGCTCTCGAAACCCAGTCGAATTTTTACTTCGGATAATTTAGTATTGACCGTGTCGAAGGTTAGTCTCGGTGATCAGAATACGGTTTCTTTTTACAAACGCCTGATTGACCGTCGTTCGGTTAGGTAATCGTCCACGATCGATCGCCGTGGAAGACAATGCTCGGTCGCGAGTTTAGAAACTGGATCATGAAGTTAGTTTAACCTATCGAGACCCATACTTTCCTTATCTACTTCCCAATGGACTTTCCCGCCGACGTTCTGACGGAATTCCGAGTGCGGGTGTCACCCACGATCGACGATTATTCAAACGGTCGACATTCGCAATTTCCTCCGCGAGCCTTATCGCGGCGACTGTCACAATTTCTGTCGCGTCACGACACTCCGGATCGATGTAATCGATGTAACGCTTCGCGACTCGACACCAGTCGAAAATCTCACGAACAGATGAAACGAGCACGATGGCACAAAACGCCGCTATTTTGAACGATATCATGGATATATCTGTGGTTGTCAAGAAAAATGCTGCATGTCACATTGTTTCACTTTTTAGATATTGTTGTTTGAAGTTCCGAACACCAATTCTTCTTACTAACAATGTTTACTTGATTTCTTTTTTTCTGATATGAATGAGTATTTCCTTCAGTGTGCATAATATTATTCTGTGCATTGCATTGTTTTTTTGTTAAATACAAGTTACATACGTATTTATCACTCGTATATAATAGCGTGCTATTTCTGGTAAGGCAAAAATATGGAATATAACTTTGTTCCTTTTATTTCGTACAATACAAGTTATCGTATAAGCAGATTAAGGGATCATGCTGAATTAAAAAAAAAAGTATGGAACGAAAAAAAAAATCCTTCGTTCAAGGACAAGTTTTTCTGATTTGAAATAAAGCACAAAAGGTTTCATGTAAATCGACAGAGTAGTTTTCTTTTAAAGTTCAAAGTCAAGCTTACACTTATATAAAATGTTCAATTTTTAACGCCTGTAACTCTGTCATTTTTAATTGGATTACCTTGAAACTTGCACAGAATATTCTCGAGATATTGTACTTAAAAAAATGTAGAAAGTGAAAAATCGATTTTTTATTATTTCTGACTGAGCATGACCCCTTAAGTTAATGCGACGGTTTTCCTTACATCCACAGATATACACAAGAGATAAATAAAAAGAATTTACTTTTCATTCGACGCCGTATTTTCATTTTTAGACCAAGCGACGTCGAGTCGAAAGACAGCATGGATCTTCTCAGTCTGACCCTCCGATCCATCGATCTGAGAGATTCGATACTGCAGAACGACGATTTTCTTGATTCGAACAGGGAGGTTGGTGCAGTTGAAAGATTACCGAAACAGATCAAAGAGGAGCCCAAAACCTCGATCAAAGAGGAATCGAAAGAATTAAAGACTATCAGCCTGGACGAGGTCGCTTGGCATGACACTGTCGATAATTGTTGGGTCGTGATCTACGATTTCGTCTACGATTGCACCGATTTATTAACGGAACATCCCGGTGGTTCGGATGTAATCCTTGAATACGCTGGCAGGGACGCCACTCTGGCGTTCATAGGCACTGGACACTCCAGGGCAGCTAGATCTAACCTGGAAAGGTATCTAATCGGCGAACTTCCGCCGGAAGAGAGGATCTTCCGCGTTCCCGATGGCCTAAAAATCGATGGGTTTTAATCCTTCAAGAAAAACTGTTTATTATAGATCCTGCGAAATAAGACTGGTTTTCTCCAGTGATTCGTGAATGAACTTTCGAAATTTTTTTTTATCGTTCCAGTAAAGTTTGTTAAACTTTCGTGGAACACGACGGATTCCCTCTGTCCAAGTGCCGTCCTTCGATCCTAAGATCTCTTATCTATAAATAATTTAGAATATCGACGAAATAGTCTTGTTTTAAAATACTTTTATTTCGAAGATACTTATTTATTCTATACGGTGTTTCATTCGCTTGTGTCGACTGTGTATTATCATTTAATGTGATTATGTTTTTTCTGGCGATTAATTGTTGCTGACAGACGTGATTATGTTATCTGGAGTTTAATATAAGAGAAACTGCGAAGCAAATAATAAAGAATTTTTCCATGAAAGATTACTCAAAATCTCGCTTGACCGTTTCTGTGCTTTATAGAATTAAGATTTAACCGTTAGAATAATTATGTAGATTTGTGCTTTGATTTGATATGGGCAGGGTTTAATCTGCTTGTGTATTTTGTTATAAAATACACACTGCATAATATAATTCGTTTTGTTGTAACGATGTTAAATTTCTTTTCGGGAGCATTGTCCTAATCGGACCGACACGTGTGTGTCGTGAACCATCTGGGTTATCGCGACGCTACCAGACCGTCATTCCTTAATTAGACACCGCGAAATTAGATACATTTCGGTGTCTGCGGTCACAAGCTGAGGTATTTGAGTCACGCCTTCGTGATCACTTTACACTATTCCGCCTGCTTGTCCTTTTGTACTCGTTTCGCAAATCAGTCCTGTGTATAATTTAATCTTCAACTTACCCTCTCGAATCCAGATCGCTTGAGTAAAATAAAAGGAAATTTTTCATTTTCTTAAGAATTGTATTAATACTTACCTTCGTGGTCTGATATTCAAATTTTCTATTATTCTAAATTTTGTACACAATCCACTCGGATAATCGAAATGTCATAGTGAATGACATTTTCCTTGCTCGAACAAAACAGAGGAAAAACAGGGGAATGAGAGGAACATTATCGGAGTAAACGATCAATCTTTAGCAACTCAACGCAAGAAGGGAGATCAAAGGAGCAATCACGTGACTCGTTTTTACACCGGTACAGTATATTTCTTGGTCCTCTAAACATTCATAATATACACAACATACAATATGACATAGCAATTCAGCTTTTTTTTTTAGTTCCTCGTTTAATGCGGTACCGACAGATCGTTAATAATTATCTTCGCGTTGCTCGCGAACGTTTGTTCCTTGTTTAATCCCCGTTTCTCTCGTAAATATCTAGAACATGTCATTGTGCTCGACGGCAGGAAATAGTTATCGACATCCACGGTAATTAACACGAGGTACACGACGATGAGAAAAATATTTCTATGTCATAGTAATGCATCTACAAGATACAATCGTAGTTTTCTGTTTTTTTTTTATTATTATTATTATTAACTTTACTTACATCGCTACGCCTTTCGTTCAATCTTTCAATATGGAAAACACTTTTCCACCGGGACATTTCCATTGCATCCTCGTCGAATAATTATATCGCCTTTCCATTGAACGCAGTTTCAAAATTTAACGATCGATCTTGTTAAAACGGAAAAGACATTACAAACAATACGTGTGTATATATATATATCGGTTGTTTCATTTTGTAAAGTAAATACGAATCTATTCGTATCGACTTTCAAGGTAACCTACAAAGTTTTAGAAATTTCGCGCTCTTTGGCAGTCCTGGATCCCGCTTCCATGCGATCATTAACGGTGGAAACCGACATACGATCCTCCTCGATCCAACGAATTCATATACATTATACATCTTTTATATTTATTATCCGTATCGTTTAAACGATCGCCCGTGTGCGCTTAGACGTACGTCAGCTCGCAAAGTGATTTTCCTGTCGCTGTGATTCTTGTAACAATAATAAAAAATAAAAACAATTTTGCATTTGAATGACGAGGAAACGGACCAGGCCATACGATCGAGTAACATTTTTATACTTCATACTTTTAGAGTACATACACCGAAAAATCGATAAAATATACACTGATAAACATTGTCAATGTCAATGACCATTGAAAGTCGTGTAGAGTTATAGAAATACCGATAACATAGTCTAACAATCTACAAATATATTTCACGGACGCGTCGTATTATTTACAATCATTCAAGGGACTTCGAGGTGATCTTTCGCGACAGGTATAAATGTTCCTTTTCACTTTTTTTTGTCCTTCCTGCGCAGACTGTATTTCCCTACCACTTGAAATCATCAGAGTTTTCTTCGCAGTTGGTGTTGCGATTTCGTGGAGGACAGATCGGAGTGTTTCGTGTACGGTTTTTCTCTTTGACTCGTAATTTAGTGTCACCTTCGTGGCGAAATGTGTAAGCGAGTTCTCAAGTTAACACTGAAATCGACAGCGGACAGGAGAATCACGTGTGTGTTGCATCGGCTTGAAACTCGGCTTCAGATTCTTAGCTCGGCTTGATCCTTACTCTTTAGATAATTTAACGCTTTCATGATTCACGGTGTGTGTGTGTATGTGTGGATTAAGTGTGCCTATATCGTGAATCGATTCGAACAATAACAATTCCTCGACTCAAGAGACACGTATACGAACCTTATTGGATCAATTAAACGTGCCTTATACATTATAATAATATCTATCACGAAAAACATCAGATTACCACATATTTTTATCTCTTGTCGAGGAATTATTATAATTTGTAGAAAATTGTTAAAACCACCAACAATACGAGAAAATTATAAGAAATCGTTTAGAGGAAAGTATCGGCCAACGAATCGTAGACGTTCATTCTACAGCGCCATTTTACCATTCTTATAATTTACAGTTACACAAATAACGATTCTCTGCAAACAGAATGCGATATCACCCATTACGAAACTATCGAAATTTCTTCCGTAGCTTCGAAATCGAGTTCAATTGTTCGTGTCGCCATTACTTCCCATCGTGGCGTACTTTTAAATAGGAAAATCTTTGCGTTCCATGGTATTCGCTGTTTACGACTGAAATATCCGTTATATTCTCCACGAAATGATGATAATCGTTATATACAATAATGACTTTTCACGGATCCTTAACGAGTATGGGTGTATCCATCTCGCACGAACAAACGATTCGAAGCGATTTTTATATAAATAGAGACTCCATTTACTATTCACAGAATGCTGTTTTGAAATTTTCAATAATGGTTACTTTTCCAATCGAAGAAAGTCCCGATGAGAATTACTTTAAAAGCTGGCGTCCTTCCAGGTGCTGGGAGACTTCAACGTCTGTATAGGCGAGCACTGCGCTCGGAAAGCATGTACTGGATACAAAATATTGAAATATTTTCTTTCTCTTTTTACAATTATCAATTATACAATTATCGAAAAGAAAAGTTCATCCGTGGGCATAGAAACTCTAGGTAATAAATTCATTCAGGATCAAGATCCCTTCTCTCGAGAATCCCGAAAACTTCGCGAACAGCATTCTGTGGTTCGACGAACAATATTCGATATTTACAGTTACGCGTTAATTTTCGATGCGGAACATTCGATTGAAGGACAATGGTGAGAGGGGAAACGCTTACGTTCTAATCGACAGGCTCTCTCGGCCACTCTAAATTACAGTTAAATCGGAACAGTGTTTCAACGTCTAGTTCTACACGCTTACGACACTTTTGTTTGCTTTCTTTAATGCTCTTTTTTTAAAACACCAACATTACACGCTACTTTCTGTTTTGTATGTCATTAGGACAGCCTATTACCTAGTCGTTACTTAATTAATCCTACCCCTATCGTCTAGTACGGTAGGTCGAGTGGCTCGATAATTGTACACTGTTAATTGTCGTACACGGTGACCATTAAGTGTCACGGTTTACGGTCCACGGCGGTGTATCTCTTTCCGGTTTTAAGGGGGGGGCGGCGATTTCGTCGGTGGTTTTCGCTGTGGAGAGGTTGGAGGATGAGAAACACGAGAAGCGATTCATGTAGAAAAATTGATGACTGGACTCTTAATTGAACCGGTGATGCGGCTCGTTCGTCTGAGGTATCTGGATAATGAGTGTCTCGTTAATTTACGAATGCGCCGGAACGCCAGTTACGACGGGCATCGATCGATCCCCTCGCGGTCTAATTAGAAGTTCTCGTTCCTCTGGCACGAGGGGAATCTAAGTAAGTTTGGTGAAATTCAACCGAACGTTGCGACCTCGACGCGGTAATAATAACGGTACGACTTTATTTCTGACAGCAGAAATAGAGAAAGAAATTATAAGATTTTATACATTGTCTTATGTTCGACTTGTCTTTCTCGAATTAGGTTTATTTGTAAAAACTGAATTGAAGTTTGATTGTTTTGAATGCATGAAATAACAGACTGGTCGTAATAATGAAATTTTCTAGAAATAGAAGAATTTCAGTTGCAACTCAGTAGTTGATTCAATCGAAAACTCTACTAACTGGTCTCACTTGAATGTTTCTGATGGTTAAGTTTCATTTTTGTAGCAATTTTTTCCCATCTGCCGTTCCAACACATTCTTCTGCGAACAAAAAACAATTTCTTGATGAATTGGACATATTTATATGTATTCTACCGCGTTTTCTTTCGTTACTACTAAGAAAATAAACGAGTGATTTCTTCTCCAAGAAGTTTGAACGAACAAAATTCAGTGAAAATTTGTAAATTTACGAACCCAGTGAAAAATCTTCGAGATTCTGTGTAATTTCATACTTAACTAATATACGCGAAGAACCTACTTCCCATAGCGTCATTATTAAAGAAATAATTCATCGTTTGAAATCGATGAACTTTACAGATATAGTCTACACAATGCCAACTCCCCCGTAGGTTCTCGTCTTCTATAATTATTTATATTTATATACAGTAGGACAGTAAAGTTTTAACTCGTATCCCTACTCGCTATAGAAACGTCTATCTCTCCGCATATCCTCGTTAAAACACCCATAATCCTCTTAGATCGTACGATAGCTAGAATAAACTACGACATTCGTTCGTATGAAACGTTTACAGTGACAAAAATAAGAATTTCATACCGGCGCTTCTACGCAATTAAATCCGCTTATCTCGTTTCGATCGCTAGAAACCATACACGATCGTAATAATACCTGAACGAATGTAAAACAAGTCCCTTAAAGAGGAATAATTTCAAACATTTTCGAAGTAGAGGAACAAAATATTCGACAGAAGTGGTTCAAGAAGGTTTGATCGCGTTTTAATCATTTAATTATTCGAAAACTTAGCGTGGCGACGATGAGTATATTCGTAGTGAACACAGAGCATGGCCTTAATTATTCCCTTTTTGGCTTTATTTATTAATAAACGAATCTTCCATAATGAACACGAACGTTGAATCCCGTTTCGAGACAATCGGTGATCACGATGATCGTCGTTTATCATCGTGTTAATTATTTTTTTCAATAAATTTGATCGATTCGCGAGTCGAAGTAGGGTTTCGCGATATTTTCGAATTCATTTTGCCAGCAAAATATTGTTCGTGTTTGATTGTCTTGTTAAATAAACGGTGAATTTTCAATGAAAACTACATTACATTCATTTTGAAATGAATATAATAGTAAATTATTAAACACAGGAAACATGCTATTGAAAGGAGTACAGCAATCGAGAACAATGAAATATTTTACGATGAATTATACACCTCTATTTGCGTAAACAATTCGATGCAACACCATATACTCGTCAGCGGAATATTACATCTGTCACACATATGTCAGAGGATTGGACGTTGAAATTGCTGTTAAATTACGCGAGACATTTATGCAGAATTGTAATACGAACAGTTCGATTGTACAAAAAGCTGCGAGTCTATCAAGCTCTTTTAACTATCAACAGCGAAAAAATACAAATATTCTATGCACTCAGAAAATTAGGCCAAAACAATCATTCCATGTATTTGAGTCATTATATATCCTTTCTTCACGGGGTTGATACAAATAAATTATCGTCGTAAATAATTCGGAAATAGATGAAAACTAAACGAAATCTGTGTCTTGTTTTGTTATTTGAATTAGGCGTGCAACACCTGGACCAGCCAGGATAGACGATGACTATTCATCTACGAATCGTCATTAACCAATAAAATTCTCGTAGTTAAGTATTTGTAAGCCTAGAAACATGCTCGATCGCTCGGAGCATTTCGATTATCATTGGAATTAAAAAATCATATTCGGATAATAGAATCGTTCGAGACAGCGTTTCATTTAATTTGACGAAAGATTTGTGCGAATGACGATGATCATTCGAGGATCGACGGTTTTGGAAATTACCAGAAATGGATCGAAGCGTTTCCAAAACCGTCGAGAAATCGTCGATATTCGTGATTCGAGGACCGTCGGAGAGCCCGACGAATCGAATTCTTGTAAACTTCTTCTTTGCCTGTTCTCGGAACTTTTCGCGGCCGAGCTTGGGAAAAGCTCGAGAAATATCCAGCGGCTTTCCCGTCTGGAAAGTTTCCGAATTCCCGGGGAGCTTTGAAAATTTCGAACGTCTCCGAACATATCTACCATTTGTCGTCGATATACGACGATTTTTCAAACGAGACTCCGATTAAATCGAAATATTCCTTTATTGTTGCACACGAAACGTGTATTATAATTTCATTTACTTTTCAAATACTATTATTGCAAAAGTTTTTATCTCCGATATTAATCAACCGTTCAATTCTATCATGAACTATATTACTCTTCTTGAGAGATTGGCAAATTCATTATCTACATAAAAAGTTTCGAGTAACGAATAAAAGATAAAAAGTACTTCGTCATTTTTAATCATTAAAATGTGAAAATTTCACTTTTTACAATCAAACAACACTTCTTGAATGAATCCCTTCAGATACTGCAGCGTTTCACTATATATTACTCGAATAAAATTCTGCCCAACTCTGCTTTTCCCTAAATAGTGTCATTTGCCGGAAATTAAACTCGCGTTCAATTTCGTTCAGAATTTATCTCGATCGTCTTCGTCCTTTCGCCCACTTTAGAATACTTCACTTTCGATGATTTTCATTCCCATCGAACGAAATCGAATATTTCGAATACATGGGTCCGCCATTTTGTGTGCAACAATCGAGCACGGATCATCCGAACAAGATAACCGTGCCCGTTCGAGATCGCTCGCGTCCTAATTCCGTCGAGTACGATCAAAGAAGCAAGAAAAAGGATGAGATCGATCGTATCAAAGTCGATTGGGGGATTTGTCCGGAACTTTGATCGGCTTCGTTGCGCCCGCAATGGAATTCTTCTTTTCGATGGGCGGGTTTGGGGGTTGCGTCGATCGCGAAAAAGGGAGCCGTTCTCTCGAATACAATTTCCTCGAGGTGTTCGGACGAATCCATCCATCGCTCCCTCCCGTTCGTCGATCTATCGCACCAACGATCTTACATCAGACTGCACAACGCGATCCCGTTCTCGAACGCAGATTGCAACGCGGTCGTCTCCATGCAAAACGCCCCGTCTTCGTACATGGTCGCGAGTCGTTGCTGCTGCACCCGACTCTCGCTTTGCGATCTGAAATTTTATAGGTTAATTAATTACACACCTGTGTCCAGCTTCGTTCCATAAGGACAGGTTGCCTGAACGTTTCCTCGTTTAATTCCCTGGAGAACATAGGATGTGACCGCTAGAGTGTATCGGATCTAACAAAGATTTACTTTAAAGATCGGAACATCTAGAACTTTGTTAATCTACTTTGAAAGTTTGAAAAAAGTGTCGCGTTTAAATTACATGGCCGTGGAGTTTTAGACGTACTTCCCGGAAGCTGTAATGGATCTATCCTTCTTTTAAGGACCGTAAGATTCACGATTGGAAAAGTATTTTAATTCTCTAACAAATGAACTTTCGCGGCACAGTCCTTTTCGAATTAACCTTCTTATAGCCCGAACTTTTTACGTGATTATAAAAAAATTTAATTATTACACGAATATAAATTAGCAATGAATTTACAATGTTTATCTCAAGTTGGAGTTGATAATCACTACAAAGAATCTTATCGGTTACCAAAGAGAGAAAAAAATTAAATTAGGTCTAAAAGAATAACGATATTGTATCGGTATGTGACTTGAAAGTCACACGGGGCTATAAACGATGAACATAGCTAAACCAAAAATGGTAAATATTTATAAAAAGGTACCACCCTCCGATGTCAATAATTTTTTAATATGTTGTGAAGGTGTTTATCAACAACATATTAAAAAATCCTCGACATCGGAAGGTGGTACCTTTTCACAGAGATTTACCAAAAAAAAAAATAGCAGCTTTTACTTTGAATAAAAGGAGGCACATAAATCGTCAAGATTTCCTCTGTAAGCGGCCACGAAACAAATCTCATCTCCCCGTTTGAGAAACGCTATCTCGCCTGATTGTACTCTAGACAGTTCTCTATCTCTCCACCCTTTACTGGTCCCAAAGGTGTCGTGGACACGTGGTCGCCCAGAGACGACCGTCTAAATTATTTCGTGGCTAGGAAGAATACGGTTTCTCCTGGTTATGCCGGGATCATGGGTGCTCACCTGGGAGGCATCGCCCTCGCGCGTTGTTGCGATCTGATCTGCTGCTCCCTGGAGGCCTGTTGGTTCGACAGGTAGCTGCTGTCTCTCAGCACCGCTCCTTGCTGGTGGTGATGATGATGGTGACCAGCGGAACGTTCGTTATTCTGCGAGTGTGACAATTGCGTGAGATACTCTCTGAGCTCCGGTTGGCTGGCGAGCAGCTCGCGACGCGTTTGAGCGTTTAACGCCATCGGCGTCGTTGTCGCCGTCGTGGAGTCCGACCATGGGGGCGGTGGTGTGTGCGATCGGGACAGCATAGCGTACTTGTGGCATAGGTATTCTTCGTAGGTTGGCGGTAGACCGGACTGAAATCAGAGATCGATCGATTGTTTGAGAAAAGAAAATCTTTTGGATTGTTTCTGGTACGTTGTTATGTAATTTTTTGAGTGGCTTGTGTAGAGGAATATTGAGAGTGTCTGTCTTTATGGTAAATAAGTTGACGACAAATCGTATACTTCGACAATTGTAATTTATAAAGTGTGTTCTGTGGAAAAATGTTTTATTTAGAAATTGCAGGGTATCGAAGGGAACGTATTTAATTGGCTTATTTGGTTAGGATACATCGTAATAAAATGTAGAGACTACTTCTAGTTAAAATAGTTAAAGGGAGTTTTAACTTACTTTCCGAAAATCCGTATGTACTTTAGAAATCCTTTCTTCATTCGTCGTAAATAGAGAGATGTTAGAAAAATGGTTTTTACAATTCCTATTATTCTTTATTCGTACTCTTCCTTGCATTCTTTAGACGTCTATCTCTTCTGTACAATATTAGTAACAAGTGGATTCGAATTCATGCATAAGCACAAGTTTAGGAAACTATTAGGCAACCCTCTCTCTCAACTCGGAACCACTCAGAATTCCCTGAACACACAGGAACCATCCACGATATCGCAAATTACTAGTGCTGGTAGTCGTCTTTTTCGTCGACCCTACGGAAATCCTGTACAGGATACATCGTCCATTCTCTGTTGTCGAAGGCTTTGCCCGGAATTTCTACCCGAGCATCGCGAACTACCGAGAGAAATAATTCGATAACGGTTTTAATCTTTCGATCCGGAGGAACGCTGCCCTCTCGCCCGGCTTTGCCGTTGTAATTTACCTAATTACGCTCGGCGAAAGTTTTAATCCCGCTACGGGAACACGATCCGGATTTTAATGCATTTGGTGCGGTCAGATATAAATCACATTCTTCCGTTCCAAATCTACTCTTTTCCGTGACAGTTTACGATTAATGTCAGTCGAACTAAATACATGTTTCATTAATCATTAGCGAATATTTAAGCATTTATAGCATTCCTTAACTTAGAAAATACAATAAAACAAAGATTTTAATGAAGTTCAATACTATTTAATTATCATTACAAATGTAGTGAAGCTTCTAGTACAGAATTTAGGATTATGTCCCACTGTAATTTTTAAATATTCCTACCTAATATTGTGAATTTGCATAAACTTCCGCAGTCTACTTATCAATCACGGAATAGATTTCATTTATTTTTCACTGTTAACTTCTACAATTAAATTCTAAATAAAGAACATAGTCTTCCATCGATTTCTGGAATAAGAAATATTTAACGTAGGAAATTATAGTTGGAAATTGAGCGTTGCAGAAGTACAGAAGTGTTTGTTTGAGTCGAAAACCACGGATAAATCGGAGTTCCATCGTTCGAAGATATGCAAGCTTTCGGTCAGAGTCTACGGTTTCAGGGGGTGGAGGGATGGAAGGGGAGGAAGGCTGCGCTGTTTACCGGGTGACAAATTGCGGAAAACTTCTGAGGGCAGATTTGAACTCGAGCCAATTGTTTGAAGAGCAAAAACGCTGCACGGTGCGACGCCGAGACGCCGGGAGCGTTCTTTTTTCCTTTTCTGGCGTTCTCTTTCTCCCCTCGCGTACAGCTGATGTAGCCACCATTGAAATTCTGATTCGCCGGTGGTTCTCTTTTTTGGAAGTCGAACGTAATGTTTTGCAGCGAAACTTCAGCGGCGTGTTCTTATCTCTCTCTACTCTAGTCCATTCTTTTTCTTGATTTGGGTCAAGTTCTTTTCGTTTTCTTTTCTCTGATTGCTAGACTATGGATTTTATTATGCATTTACAGCTTATAGTGCTCTGTGAAATCTAATAAAAGACGAAACTTCCATCAGACGAGACGGGTTTCCTACTTTATTCTGAACCCAATAGAAGATAACTCGAGAGGAGGCAAAAATTCCTACATTGACCCTATTTTTTTATAAATTACTTTAGAATATGTTATTTTGATTAACCTTCTTGGACTCGCTTGGTTTCTCAGTGTATAGTGACTCTCGCTGGTCACCCACAATGGCGTCAATTGTTTCTAAAAAAACTACAAAAATCCACAGTCCACTGATTTGATAACAGAACGATTTATTTCGTGCTCAGTTTTTTTTTTAATAAAGATTTAACAGTGCTAAGATTACATCGCTAATTTTTTAATCATTTAGACTAAACGTTTTGCGTAAGAATTTATAAGTCATCACCACGACGTAAATTGGAATAATTCGAGAGCGAATAGTATTCATATTCACGCGATCGATCGGCAACGAATTAAACGATTCTTCCGACGCACGCAAGCCGATCGAATTCAATCAACCCCGATAATATCGCACGCTCAAAGAACGCCGATCGCCGATGTCCGTCACGATTATCGGTAAAATTTTTCGGGGTGGGGGGAGAAGTACCGTCCGTAGGGACGATCGATGCCGATAATAAATGAATTGCACGGTTTAATTAAACCCGCGAAGGGACCGAGGGAAAGGGGGCCTAGTAATTGATTTCGCTGCTCGGGAAACTAGAACAGAAATCAACTCCCATGTGACGTTTAATTTCACGATCAGATTTCGATGCAGTCAATTGAATTCATAGCCGGTTTACTCGCTTACGAAACCCTCACCGGGTGGGCAAGCTTGTGCATCAAGGACTCGAATCCAGCGACATCCTTGTATCGTATTTCTTTCGATTTCACAGGCTTCCTTTATCGAATTCTTCATTATCGTAAATGAATTGGATCGGTACTAGTATGATTAACCCTTTCGTTACCAAGAGTGACTATATTCACCCCCACCTAAACTCTTCTTCTATCCTAAAGTTGACTACATTAAGATTTGTGTAGACGGGATCTACCAAACCTTCGGGGGCTACCTTGGTTGAAAAGCGGGGGCAAAAATTGGTTGAAATAAAACATACAATAAAGTACATGAATCTGCAAAAATTAAAAGTTATTCTAAATAAAGTTACCTAACATTTAATCCTATGAATTTCTAAATTCACTGCGATTTCTAATTATTTCAAAAGGGAAAAAATAAACAAAAATTCATAAATGGACTGTTTAGATTGTGGTCCCCTGTAAAGTGGGGCTGCAGTCCCCCGTAGTCCCCCTGATCCTCTACTGACTACATCAACCAATTAAAATTTCACGTTAGTTAAGAACTCACGTAAATTTAATTAATCCCATTAATTACATGCATCAATTAAACCGATGTTGCACCGTTCGCAGCATAAAATGTAGTCTCGCGACTCAACTATCCCCGTAAATTGGTCTAGCATACTTGCAGCCAATTCCGCCATAGCGAAAGGGATAAACTTCTAAAAGCCGACTAGAACAAGTTCCCTCTGGATCTGGGATCTTTTCGAGCAATTTTCCCCGCGAATTCGAAACTCCATCGCGTCGACCGAAACGTTGAAAGTCTGAGAGGTCTCTGAGGGGGTGGTGTGGGGGCTCTTTTCACCTGCGCTCAGGTAACGCGTGTGTCGGCGAATCAATTCGAAAAAGGAAGCACTCGCGTTCGAGCGGCCGCGCGTCGAAAGTAACGTTACCGTTTCCGCGTTAATTAAGAGCTCGACCCCTCTCCCCCCCCCCTTCACCCCACCATTTCTCGGTAATCGGATAAAGCGATCTGAATGAGCGGAAAACGTCGGCGTCAAGCGCTCATTACTCCCGGCGTCGGCTTTCCGCCGGCTCGCGATACTTTGCCCGCCTTTGACGGCGACTCGTTCCGCGGTCTGGGACCCTGAAACCGTCGCTAATTCGATCCCCGGCTGGAAAAACCGATGACTGACGTATTTATTCGGGTTTATTTCGTGTGACAGAGCTAGCGAAAAATGAATGTGGTCGATGACTATTTTATGCGTGATCGGAAGGCTGCGGATTTTATGCAATTATCGTGAATGCCTCTGTGCAAACGAAAATATAGTAAAAATCGTTGCGAAGATTAGTATGAAGTTTACTTTGGACCCAAGAAAAATCTTTAACCCTCTGTGATATCCCTGGGTCTTTTATGGCATATACGAAATGTCGAGCTCAGATTTCTCCGAAACGAAGGGATTGTTAAAAAACAATATTTTGACATTTAAATTTGAAAACTATTTGATCGTGCACTAGAGACTCTGGGAAGTATCACTGAATTTTTTCAGACTTTTGGAAATGTATAAGATACAAGAACTAGGTCTGGACATAGAAGGTTAATAAAGGAAACAGATCTTTGACGTAATTATAGTTCTGTAAATTGATCTTTAAGAATCTGAATTTGCATAATGAAGCGCAGTCCAGTGATCAGAGATCAATCAACTATGATTAGATCGTGTTCGAAGTAAATATTTCACAGAGTCGATATATTCGAGATATACATTATTCGATATAGGTGCCTCGATATTTACAAACAGTCGATTCGATGATGGCCGGTTACGAAAGAACCCGAAGAAATCGTATAATATCGGTGAACCTTCGGACACAGACACAGACATTTTTATCAATCGGAGAGGTGATCGAAGTGGAATCAGAAATCCATTAGAAGTCGACGATCGCTCAACGTTCTATCGAAATACAGGAATCGTAAAGTGCTCGGAGCTCTTTTATCGATATTTCCATCGAAGCCTTCTCGATCGCGAGGAGAACACCGAAGATCCCCGGAGCTTTTGACCAACGGCGGCGCTCGGTTATTGCCCCATTTTTGTCGGTTTCCATCCGAGGAGAAATCGACGAAGAGAAAAGGGATATGGAAGGAGGGGGAGAAAATCGAGTTTGAAGATCATTATCCTGGCCGATTCGATTTTCAACGCGACACGAGTCAGCCTCCGGGAAACTGTTCCCCTTCTATTTTCTGTAATTTTAACGAGATCGCGTGGAAGCGGTTACATGATCGTTGGCTCGCGAACGAAAGTTGTTCACCAAACGAGAAACTCGAGCGAGAACCGGTCATTCCGAGCGATCGAAGAGATATTTCAACGGTTAAACGACAGTTCTTATCCTGTTTATGATACTAGGAGTTAGTTTTATGGACTATACAGGGTGAGCCTGGGGTTATTTTACACAGAATAAAATTTAGCCCAAACACAATACATCTTAGATGAACTTTCAGAATTAATTATCCTAAAAACAAATCACCAGACAAACAAAATTTATTCCACATTTTCGACTTACTTTTCCATGTAGAATAACCCAATGCCAGCTTCTACCACCCAGTGTAAACCTCGTAGCAGTAAACCGAATGTAAACCAAATCTCCTGTTAAACCGATACGCGCAACACGCTTCGGAGATTGATCAAAGGGATCTTCTGGCGGGTCTTCTCGATGACAAAGCAACGGAGAAGGTCTTAACGGTATCCAAAAACACGGGGGCTGGAATACAGCCAACGTGTAACCGCTTCCGGTCTCCGTCCACGACCCTCAAGACCCGCTTTAATCGTATCTTCTTTCCCTCCCAGCCGACATCTTAATCCGCTCTCGGTTGGCCGTCGTAATTCCAGAAAAATATGGCGAACCACTTGGTAAACATTGTAATATAACGAACGGGACCAAGAACACTGTTTCATTCCAGTCCCGGAATATGTCGGCTTGCCTTGTGGGAGGGGTTCGGAAACTTTTTAAAAAATTATTACCACCCCCTTTGATGAATACGCGCCTGCTTTTGTTTCGCGGCAACAACGGCGGGGTAATTTAATCCACTGCGCCAGTGAAGCATTGTTATTTATATTCCGTGGTCCTTTGTGGCTCATTGACGCGTTATTCGGACGTATCGATTATTGCAAACCAGCCGGTGGGTGTATAAACTAAGCAAGCGATTCAGTAACGTTCCATTATTGTCAGAGCTTATTAATTTTTTTCTCTATTTGTCGAAGTATTAGCAATGCACTTTATAAACGTTCTTCTTTTTAACACTAGAATTACCGACGATAAACGTTGTATTTGTGTCTATCGGATTGATAAAGATAACCAAAGAATAGAAGAATATAAGAATGTCTGACTAACCAGTCATTTTGCCTGCGTGGATAGTTCTACTATTAAAAAACCTAAATCGAAGGCTCTTTCAAATTATTATTTCATCTACACCTTCTTAATGCTCTCAATCGAAGAAACAAATTTCTCCCTGAATTTGTTACAAAATTCGCCTGAAAATGTGTGATTGCTCATAAAACATAGCCGTAATCTAACGATAACAATGAAGATTATATTTTTCCATCGTTCCATCGTGTTTGCTCGAAATGCCTCCGAAAATAGGTACACGGGGCCAGAGAAACGAAATTGTTGCGCGGGTGCCTCGTTAAAATCCACAGAAACAGTTGTCTCAACTTTCGAACGGGAACGCGGGCAACATTTCGCAGCGAGTGTTGTCGGAATTTACCAGGGAGAAAGTTTCCGTATCAATCCGTTCGGGGAGGTGGAAAAGTTTCGCGACTGGTGCAATTTATATTGTTTCATTCATGCGCACCGACAACATTAATCTCCGATGAAGATTGTCGCTCGCCCCCACGGTTCACGCGATATTAAGACGCGGTCGCGAGAACTTTCGGACTTAAATCACCGTGAATCGTGTCGCTTTCGGTCGTTATTCGTCGCTTAAACTTCCGTCGAGCGTGTTCCGACGATTTTAAAGACCGGAGACACCGACAAGGCGTTGGTGTCACGGATGAACAGCACATATTTCTAAGAATACTCATTTTTTATCGAATAATTTCCAACTTTCTTCAACAATAGTTGATTATACAGGGTATCTCACCCGATTTTGACATCTTGATTTTCTCGCTATTGTTACTCGTAGCAAAAAATGTTTCAGCGGAGACTTGAATGGTATCGAATATATAATATAAATATTATAATATTATAACAGTTATATATAAATATTAGTTTTTTCGTGAGTGGACCCGTAAAGGTCATATAAAGGTCAACTTTGTTTTTTTAAATGGAATTAGGTATTTTTTATTACATCAATCGATGCAGCTGGACATTCGTTATAAAAAAGTACTAACCTATGTATGTCGAAAAGTTCAGGAGATATTTCCATTTAAATAATTCTAAATTACCATTACTGTCGTACTTTGCCACCATTCCTGTAAATAAACGCTAACGTCTTAAGTAATAACATTGTCCCCTCACATTTTTTTGTATCTTCAAAAACAAGTAAGATATTACAGATGCTCACGTTAGGTGGGACACCCTGTACACATTCAAGTGGATTAAATTGTGCAGTCTCCTATAAAAAGGACGTAATTATTCACACAGCCACTCGTACTCGTTTATTCAACAGAAAGATCCATGGTTTACTCGAATCGCCTGGCGGTTCCAAACGGGCCTGGATGAAACGCTTTGGGAATAGAACGACGCGAGCTCAGCGAATTTCGAAGAGTCCTGGCATCGTTACCCGGGGACTTTGAAGTGGGTCGCCAGCAGGGGTAACAGTGTTTTTCGTCCGTGGGGGTGGTGGACGACGACGCGATGTGCCACGAAAATTTATGTGCTGCTCGGCGCCGCAAAACTATGCGAAACGGCGAGCCAGAGGCAAAGTGGTTCTCGGAGCTTGGCGGGTGACTCGAATTTGCCTGTTCTTCTCGCCCCCTCCCCACCCCCTCTCCCTCTCTTTCACCCACGAGGACGCAGAATATTTTCTTTTTCCTGTATGCAGCCATTTTTCTATTATCCACGACACTCTTCCCTATTAAATGGAAATTTTTTCTATTAAACCGTAGATGCACTATACATGGTTGGACAATTTTCAGCATCTACAATGCTTGTTGGTCGTTTTCACCCTCCTTTCTCGTGGAAGATGAGTATTTTCCTTTTTCTATATCGAATCATCTACTCTTATTTTGTGTAAGATTCTTTCCTGTTTACCATTTTCCATTCTGAACCAGAATACATAATATATGTGAATTATAGTATATACAGTGCTCATGTCGTCGTCGCTCTGACTCTCTCTTTGACCCTCGCGAAGGAAAAATATTTTTCTCTTTCCCCTATTCAGATATTCGTTCACTTTATATGAAATTCTTCTTGGGAAATGCTAGGTCCTATATTATACTTTGAGGAGACACGTTGTGTAGATATTTGAATAACATTCGAAGTTCACTTTGTCTATTGGTCATTGTTTTCACCCCTTTATTGTTCTTCATGGTTCTGGAAATTATTCTTCCATCGACGTTCAGCTTCGTACCTCGATTTATGATCAGTTTATTCTTTAGAACCGTAGATTTTCTTTTGTATCCTGTATAACTTTGACAAATATTCATATAAATATTCAATGTTCGCAGTTACTCGTTTGTCCAATGTCTTATCACTCGTTTTAATAGATTCTTACACGAAGAATATCTTTAATCTCTTTATACCGAGACAAGTATCGTATCTATTGTAACGTTTCTCTTGAATACAAATTTATGTGAATCTTCGACCTCTGAAATTGATCAAGCGTTCAATGTTCCTAGTGATTAGTTCCTCCTCGTTCCAATCTCCACTTCAAGCACAATGAATCTTCCCAGGGACAAAGACGGAGTCAAAATATTCATAACAATTCTTACCTTTCAACGAAGTTTGAATAAATATTCAATTTTTAAACGACATCAATGGAAACACACCTTTCCTCGAGATCATTTCGTATTACACTGAATACATGTATATATCTCATTAGTTGCACGATTCTCGATTATTTCTAACTTTACCTTGAACCCCCTCGGAGGCGAAGAATTTTTTGTCGGTAGCTGGCGGGATCCTGAGGATCGAAGGATCACCGAAGGGTAAAACGAATCGCGAGATTATTGTGGAAAAAAGTTCGGCTCGCAATTATCGAAGAATTAGGACGGCCACGGGATTGCCGGAACATCGATATTTCACGGATTCCATTGCTCCTCCCCGCGGTTATTTTAATTCGGTACACTGAACTCGGTTACCAGGAGCCTTGATTTCTCAGCCCTCGTTAACAATCACCCGTTTTATCTCGCGTAATCTTCGTTTGCTTGACTTCATCGACGAGTAAATATTCTTTCTAACAAACAATTTCATTATCTTCGATAATTTTATATTCCGCAGAAATAATATAACACGTTGAACGTGTTACGTTAAAAAATCTAAACGAAACATAACATTTATTCGTGAAATTTATCTCGCGTACGGGAAGAAAATTAAAATTCATCCGATAAACAATTTTCATATCTGAAATTCCAGCACGAGAATTAAATTGCGAATAAATCACGATGCTCGAGATAGACAGAAATGAAAGCCGACGGACGATTTATCAAATATTTTGTACGCGTAAAAATTTGTGTTTGTTCATCGTGTAAACGTAGAATTAACGTTTCAATAATTTGTTTGTTCTTCGTTTCGAAATCTGTAATTGTGATTCTAAATTGGATTTTCTTAGAATGATCGCACGATTAATAGAAGTATCCACTCACCTGCCACGTTTTCGAGATCGCCACGTCGTAGGTGGGCGGCGGCGATACCATAGAGGGGATGGCGTAAACGGGTTGCGATCTACTTTGCGCGTTTAATTGACTATTTCCGGTTTCGTTGGCGCTCGCGTTCGGCGTGTCTGGAATGGTGGCGTACAGGGCCTCCGGTATAGCGTTCTCGCGGATCCCTCCGCCGAGTATACTGGATCCCGAATCTGCGCAATTTTTTCAGGCAAATTCACCAATCAATATCTCTCTGATATTAATCCTTAATCCGAGAACAAGATTAAAATGTAACAGAATGACGGATGTAATGTTGAAACTGCGAATTTTTATGCAAAATAGCATCTTCTAAAGTAGCTCAAAAAAAGAATAGCAAACGTAGGAATTTCTTTCTTCTCCTAAGTATCTTATTGTGTTCAGAATAAAATAGAAACTCGTTGCATGTGATGACTGTTCAATTCTTTATTGTGTTTCACTGAACTCTGTAAGCTATAGATGCATAAAACTCACAGTCTGGTAATCATAAATGTTAACGTACGAGGAAAGAAGACAAGGAAATTAATATACAGTGGTTCACTTTGTATAGTGAGTATTATACGAACCGATGTAAGTGTAATGCGATTCTGCTCGGTCAGCGCTTCGGGTCCTCCTCGAGTGATTCAGTCGTTTCTCGTATTTGCTACTCTTCGTGGCTGCATTTGCCTGATCCGTGACCGAGCTACTGCTTCCAGTCTCGGAGTCCCTGTTCTTCGAACGTGCTTCATCTTGCTGTTGTTGTTTCTTCGCGGATCGTCCCTCGGATTTGCTGCTCTTCGTTTTTGGCAGTCTCAGTAGCACCTTTCTCGTGCCCAGAGCGCCATTTCGTGATTTCGGAAGATCGACCACCACCCCGCAGCCGCAGATTGGCGCGTTCTCGTTAGGCATTCTGGAAACAAACGATAAAAGACCACGTTGTATTCGTTTATCTAGGTTATTCTTTACTTATTAGAACATTTTAACGATGAATCAGCAATAGTTGAAGGAACTATACTCTTGTTGTTTATGCATTCTGCTCGGATATACGGTAGAAATTTTGATTCGTTTATACAGAGAACCTTGAGAAAGTTACAGTAATTGGATCTAGTGTTCTTTCTGTTTGTTAATTATAATAGGAATCAGGCGGGGGTAAACTTTGTACGGTAAACTCTGCAGTAGAATCCTGAGTGGGCAAGGTTTAACAATTTGTGTAAGTTTGATTAAAAGTAAACAGTATAGATTGTCTGCCAGTAGAACGGAACTGCATACTGTCGGACAAGGAGGTAAATTCGGTGGAGTACAATAGAACTGTGGTTCGAGTTGTACAACAAGACTGTAAATATGGCGGAGAATTCCAATAGGGGTAGTAATTTTCTGTTCGAGAAATACACCTACATGTATCCAGACAAACCGAAACAGTATGAAAGTAATAGAATAGAAACATGCAGTCAATTTTATTAATCAGATTGACTTTCTACTTGTAAATCATTGACGTAGACTACAGTGGAATAAACCTGTGTGTAGTCAGACAATTTAGTACAGACACCTGCGATTCAATAAAACAGAATTCTACGCAATATGACGAACAATGGAGGGAATATAAACCAGCAAACAAATTCAGAGAATCAGTAGGAAACATATTTTCGATCCAGAAAATTAATTCTGCGGGTCTGCCGTTTGATGTTATTCGGAACTTCGTAGGAACGGAACACGCAAATCGAGATAGCTATCTGCCGGAAACTCGAACGAATGCATGATATCAAGACACGTCTCCTCCCTGATAATGGCGTTCTATAATCTACCCGAGTAACACAACGCGTTTCATGCAATCACGTTATCCATCCCACGGATCGAGCGCGCCCCATTACTAACCAGGCCATAATGGCCTTTAATTAGAGTCACTTCGAAACGTTTACCCTCGAGCACGAGACCAGGTGTGCACCGTTCGATTCTCAGTGAATCTGATTAAACGAGGCTCGAGATAAGAAAAGTTCGATGAAATCTAATCGAAAAACGGTGTACCTGACACGGATAGACAACACTTTACAAGCACTTAATATCTGCAGTGTAGTCGATCGCTATTATCGAAGTTCGCAATCTGACGTGGGATAAAATACCAGGACGATTGATCAAAAGTAAAGTTTCCAACTGGAAACAAAATATCCGTGTGACAAAATTGGTGTCTCGATGGCTACCTGGAACGTCGTCGGACGAGATCGATAAATCGATAATCGCCGATAAAGATCGCGAAGCCAGAGAGCACGGTTGGCCTCCTCTGCTGTCCCTGTTCGGTTAATTATTCGATTCCCGGGAAAGCCCAGGGTTCCCTCTTTTTCATCGCGCGACGAGTAACGCTGGGAATCAAACGGAGTCACTTTGATCGGAGATTTAAAGGCGTGATTTACTGGAATTTCGAAAGGAATGGATTTCTTTCTTCTACCTTTGCCCGCGCTACTTTTCCTGGAACAATGGCTTCGATCCCTTTACATTGCTTCGGGTGCTTTCTTCCCTCTTTCGTTAATTTCTCTTTGAACGGGGGAACTCGGCGCAGCGTTGGACCGTTATCGTGTCTCGCAGTCCACCATATCGGAATTCTGGTGGTATTCTTGTGTTCTCGAGTCGGTCGAACATTTTATAGACAGAGCAGTAAAAATTCTGATAATGTAAAAAGTTCGGCTCAAAGGAGTCAATTCGCTGTAACAGTTTGAGCACCGAGGTGAAGCGAACGAACAACAGTCAGATCGTAATTCCACGCTCTAACAAGTCCGTTAAATCGAAGGTAAATGTCTGAAAGGAAGCATCCAGTCGATCCCGCGGTCCCGAAGGCAACGAACCGTAGACCTCGAGATTTCTCGAAGAAGCTACATTTTCTCTCTTTCACGTGAGAATTTCATTCCCTTCCGTCCCATCCTCCCACCCCACCAGTATATACACATGTATTCAAGTTTCTACGCGGGAAAACGTTTCGGTTGCCGCGACATCGAGCACATCCTCCGCTGGTAGCACAATCCAATTTTCGTATCGTCGTCGAAGCGAAAGGGGATACCTATTTCTCCCTCGTACATCACCTTTTCCTTCTTTCTCCCTCTCGTACGTCACGTGTCCTTCTTTCTCCCACGAGAGATTAAAAGGAAGTTACTCGGCTCGTCTTTAGTGCCCCTTCAACCATCCCCCAACCCCTATTTCGTATCCCCTTTTTCGTGCGAAAACTGAATTCTATGCTCATTGATTGATGGCTTCACCTGCTTCTACGCCGTTACAGGAAAATTGTACGGGCTTATAAAGTCTGCAGAGTGGACCACGAAACACGATCAACTTAGATTATTCTACTGTCAGCTGTTCGATCGAAATTTTTTTGGATACTTGACCATCAGTAGAGACGTCATGTAAATAGAACTAAGCAGTCGTATTGCAGCTGGACCCCATTTTGAACATCGTTTTAATTAAGGTAAACGACATTTTCGTAATGTTTCTTCGGTTAGGAAAAAAAAAATTTGGTATCATACTTACCAAATTCGTCTCAGTATCCACTAAAAGAAGATCGTGAAAAAATTGTAGGTTTATCTATAAAAAACTACAGGTGACCTTGAAAACTGCCAAAAAAGGGTTGACAAGAAATTTGGTCCAATCATCTTGAAGCTCTCCTCGAATCATGTTATATTATCCAAAAAAAATGTTCCATCGAACGGCTAGCAGTAGAATTCCTGGTCCACCCTGTATATTCCAAGTACCCTTGGGCGTGTGTTCTCTTTCTGAGAAATTTATCCCGTCATATTTCCCCGCTGATAATGCTGCACATGTAATTTTAACGATGTAACAGGTAGAAGTATCTCCTTTCTCGAGGTAAAGACGAGGAAATCCCAGAACGTCTGAGAACCGAACGGAACCAATACCAGGGGCTGATCGATGAAATTAATTTTACCGAGCGAGAACGCGATGTGCCGCCGCTTGCCCCGGGTATAATATTTCCGTGTGTATCTGGTTCCGATACAACGGCGGTAAGATGTGTTGTAGTTTCAGAGACGACGGGGGAGATGAGGAGAAATCGCTGCACGGAAATTAAATTACGCGGCGCGCTGCGAAATGAGCTCCTGGAGACCCTAGTTAGCTACGACGACAAACTACTCGCTACGGCCCCGTTATTATTCATTCCGGAGCTGCGCGGCAGCCTCCCGGGGCGAACTTCCGGTCCCGTGCCCCGGCCACGGGATGGAACGCCTTCCGTCGTTTCGACGACTTTGACCGAGTGGCGACTATCCATCAAAGGGAAGCCGGACAGCGTGCTAATCCCTCTGTTTGTTGCCCCGTTTCCCACCACCCCCCGTCGATTCTTCTTCTTCAGGTTCGTAATTTTGTTGCTATGTGAAAAATGAGTTCCCTAGTATGGTATCGCGAGTGGTCCTTCGAAGAGAAGGTCATCGATTGTCCGACTTCGATTTTAACCGAGTTTTGTGAGATGATATGAGAGATATCTCGCGTTGCAATAAAAAGGAATGCGAGATATTCCGTACATAGCATCGCATGAAAGACATTGCGTTTCAAGATATCTCGTCCAAAGCATATCACAAACGAAATCACGTGGCGAGATATCTCGTCCTCCGATGCTAAGGGGTTAAGTGATTCACTTACAATCGAAGTTAGTATTTTCCACCAGAATTTTCGTGAATAATAGTACAAGAAGTCGTCTATCATTTAAGAATATATGAGAAATACGAATCTTCTCTGAAAATTAAACTCGAGAATTCTCGATGCAAAGCTGGATCACGTGGAGCTTAATTAAAGCGGGGACCGCGTATGTCGCGTGTCAGTGGGGTATCGACACGCTTTTTCGACGACGTTCGCCCGCTTGAATTTCAATTAATTCCGAATTGGTCCTGCGCGTCGCACGGAACATCGTGTCTCGTGTGTCGAGTGTATGGAATTACATCCGTGCCGCCCAGCTTTTCGAGTGAATCGCGAATTCCGGGCTACTTTGAGGCCCAGCTCCAATTTGCAATCAACGTCTCAGGCATATTCTCGAAGCGAATATCAGTGGGTTCTCGATGATTACGAAGGTGAATCGCGTAGACGACGAGCTTCTCCGAAATTCACAGCTCGTCCCGATAATCGTTATCGCGAGAAGGACAAACAGCGAGTCATCGACAAACGACGTGCATTCACGAGTGTCCTGTAGCAAGCATAGCGAAACGTCTTCCTTTCAGTAATGTTTCAGATTATAACCCAGACAGAAGTGATTATTGACTTCAGGTCTAGAACAACTTATTCACAGAAATTTGAGTATTCGGGCATTTATCTCTTCGTTAACTGTTGAATTAGATTGAAAATGATAGGAAGAACTGATTAGCAATGGTTTTGAGCTTTCGTTGTATTGCATTCGATGTATTCGGTGGTAAAATAGCAGAGAGAATCAACGAACGGTGGTCTCGAGGATCGAAGGTCTCGAGTTTTCAAGCCTGTTATCCAGTGAACCGATAACGAAGCGCCACGCTGTTTCGCGCGCGTATCTAATACCCATTGAATAATGGTTTATCAGTTAACGTGTACCTGCACCGGTTGTTACGTCGCATCATCCGGACACAATGAACCGAAAAGTAATGACAATGGACACAGGAAACTCTTGGAAAATCGCGGAGAATTTACTCGAACTAATTTTCATGTGTATACAATAATATTGCGAATTTTCATAAACTTTACTGATTAGAAATGCTTCCTATATGTACCGATTCGGTAACCATTTTTATATTACAACAGAACAATAAGTTACTGTTCTATCAATCATGAATTCTGATCCACTTTTGACGGATAGTCTATTTACTCCCAATTTTCCTCCAAGGGAACTTCTTCCATTTCTTTCCAATATCTTAAATTCCTACGGCATAGCAGAGACTATTCGTGGAAAGTTACGCGAAA